AATACATTTTTGAAATAATTTTTTATTTACCTATGCATCCTAGCGGGCCACGGGCCGGTTAAAACTTGTTCGGGGGCCGTATCCGGGCCGCGGGCCGTAGTTTGGAGACCCCTGCCATAAATCATAATATATTGATATGCATACCGTGATATTATTTTCGTTATCTCCAGTCGTCTGCGTAGTATAGATGATAATATAATATTATAACTGTATTAGATACTATACCTAGTTATAATAAATAAATACGAATAGGTTAACCAAGTAAATATTGACTTATTAAAACGCTGTGAGTGCTGTGACTGTATTTTATAAGCCTGCACGTTTGCAATGAAGTCGGCGGAGGTAGTGACGTTGACATCATCATCCCTGGTAGTAAACGATAATACGAAATAGAATACAAATTTTCGCGCATAATAATCATTATGTACCTATCTATTATAATATTATATAATAAATAACAATAAAATATTGACACTTCCGACACCGCCGCCGCCGCCGCCATCTCGCGTTTTGCCCATATAATATTTAATGTCATTATATAATGTATAACCTATTATAATTTATCGTATAATAATAATATCGGTGTACATGAATAAAACCTTTCGAGTGCGTTCGACGTTCATTATTTCGATCACGAAACAACCGAGATGGTTTGGAATTTATAATCCTAAAATATAATATGAAACGCGACGATCCGGCCGTCATTAGGGTAAACGTGTACGACTCGACGTTAACGCGATATTCGTGAACGTAATTCACCGATTTGATTTTATATTCCATTTTGTATAATATAATAAAGGTATACATTATACATATTATAATATGCACTGCACCGCGGGCTTGTTCGTCGGTTTTTAATTTATTCGATTCGTGTGCGATGTCCAATGCGTAATTACGAGCGACCGGACCACAAGGCGAACCTTCGATTAGGGTTTAACGTATAATGTATGTCGCATATAATTTTATGTATTTTTAATTTTTTTGATTTCGAATGGTCCTATAACAGCATATATATCGTCCCGTTTCGCGTCATCGTCCTTTCTCCCTACACGGCCGTATAGCGGGCAGACGATATTATAATATAGTATTATCTGTGAAAAATAAAATCCTCATTTTATGGAAAAACCACTAGGACTCCATTCCACCTACCGATAAACTTAAGTCCATCAAAAGTTCAGTGAAACAGTGGTATAAACCTGCGGATATCAGCCGACGTCAAGATATTGCGATCACAAGAGTATAAGAATCGGCCACACTTTCGCTACACACTCTTTCCTAATGAGCAAAGATCATCCACCTACATGCAATACATTAAGTCAAACTCGCATCACTATAAAACACATACTCGAAGAATGCCCCATCTGTGATCCAACACGCATAACATCAAAGAAATCCTCGATGAAGGTCAAAACTCCAAATATCATCGAATTCATCACTAAATGCGATCTCATCAACAAACTCTAATCTAGCCAAACTATATCGTAACACACTTAAAATTTAACTGTAAATATGTAATTTTAATTATTAATTATATAAATTATTATCAAATCTGTAATTAAAAAAAAAAAAAAAATGACGGCTAATAGTTGAAGCCCGTAAACATTTAAATGAAAAAAAAGTATAGTATTATTATTTAACATTTTTTTACTCGTAATTTCAACGCGATCGCGATACTATAATATATAGAGGCGCATCATTACTATGCTATATACTCCGACCCGCAAGCAGTCACTGCAGTGGCTCATAACCGGAAGCTATTGTGCACAAACACACGCACAAAGCGCATATATAGTGTATAATAGCATATATATATTATATATATATATAGTATATGTATATAATATACAATATAATATGTATATACACAACACAATACGTATAATGTATATAGGTGTATGCACGCCCGACCTCCCGGCGGCGTATACATTGTCGGGGGATCGAATATGTGTGGATCGCGATACCACACGGCGGCTTTCAAAGGTTCCTGCAAGCGGAGACTTGTCAATATTAAACTCCGGTACCTGTATTATACATATAATACCTATACTGTAAACAATGCCTTTACGTCATTAGGTTATATTGACTGTGGAAAACAATTTGCATTGAATAAATATAGGTAACGTTTGGCTAGGCGCACATTATTCCGGTATATAGTGAGAATTCGTCACATCCATATAATATTATATACCTACTCTATATTATGTACCTACATGGGTACTATACCGGTACTATATCCCGCAGCGTTTATATTTTATAATTTGTATGTGGAATATTATTAGGTAATATTATATTTAAAACTTTACCATTTTTTTTTTTATTTATTATTATAATTACTATACATGTTTTTAATCGGAACACAAATTATCGAAAATCTACAAAAACATCAACTTTAATTGTTTCTATATACATAGGTAATAATGCTGTCGACGTCAGAGCATAATTATCAGGCTAGCCTCTAACTTTCAGGTAACACGAGTTACGCATTGTCGTATCGCATCGCACGGACGCAAATACAATATAACTGGGAGAAAAAAATTAGGGCGTTCCTTATATTATACTTTTGGAACGGAACATAAAATATGTGACGATAAAACCGAAAACTTAATATATTTATTTTCAAAACGTTAGAATCATTTTGACAAATTGTTTTTAAGTTACAAATTATTAAAATAATTATTCGTTTTATCCGGAAATCAATTCAGACGTTTCGGAACCAATAATATTGTAAAATAAACCTGCACACTATGCCACCAATATTATTATGTTTTAGCCGATAAAGACGAAATCAAATATTACTTTATCATACAATTATATCATTGATGTCATAATGTTGTCAATAATCTTATATTGTAAGTAGCGGAAACAATGAGACACTAATGAACAACGCAGGGTGGCGGTGAATCGAGTGAATCGACCGAAATTTCTGGTTTTAATTTTAATTGAGCTACATTATTATTGTTTTATTCTATTTTAAACAGAATAACAATATAACATATTATATATATATAATATGGATTATGTAAGATAAAACAATAAAACATTGTATTATAAATGAAAAATTCCTGGCATTTAGAATTACCATATTTTTTTAAATAATATTCTAAAAATGTCTCAATAGCTAGTATATATTTTTATATACCTATTCTATAAATGATACGTGCTTGTATAAGAGTAACACAAGAATACATACCTATAAAATATGTTTTAAAAATGAATAAATGAAACCACATAACTGTTATTCCAATCTCTTATTATTCGTTCAATCACGTATTCCTCGCCGGAAACTAGTGCCTTACTTATACGATTGTTATAATTAAAAATGATGTCCCCTATTGATAGACGACAGTTTAACAACTTTATAGCCAATTTTAGTATACATCCTTAAATAGTTATTTAAATCTAAAACTATGGAAGTATAATGTTGCCAATTTAAAACTCGTTCATTCAATATATTTATTACACATATTACCCACTTTTTTATCAAAAAGTATTATAAATTATAATATACAAAAATAAAATTATTAAATTAATGACGATTAACCTAGTCAGGTGGGGCTCATTTTAAAATCTGATGTAACCCATACACATTTTATTTTATTTTGATTGTGAGTACCTACATCATTAATTAAGACTATTGACGAACTTGATATAGGTACCTAACTACGGTGTATGTTCGTGTAACGCTGGTAATTCAATCATGAAAACTGTATTGTTGTCAGGTATAAGTTATTTTAATTAACGACCTATACACATGGTCGAATATCACGTACATTAATGATGTGCTTGTCAAGTGAAAATCGTTAACTAATATTGACGTTCCTAAATATCAGAATTTTATGATTTTTCGGATAATATTATCTATGTACTACTAAATGGTAACTACTTAGTACTTACTATTTAATGTTCGTGACAAATTTTTGAATGGTTGTGATGTTTTTACTCAATCGTAATTAGTGATGAAACACTCGACTAGACAAGTGTATTATTTGTAAGGTCACTATTATGATGATACGTCTCGGGGAGGGGGGATTAGGAACAGTAGACATAGTCAGAATTTAAAAAAGAAATGGTGTGTTTATAACATTATAATTTTTTTTGTATTATTTATCTTAAACCTGGCAAGTGGTACTATTAACGTTTGTAAGAAGGGGTAAGGACAGGGTTGGTTCAGTCAGTTGATTTTGTCACAAAAACCCGGGTGGTCATTTCGAATCAATTTTTTTTTTTAGATACATTTGTGTCTACTCATAGGCGCAGGTATAGTGTAAAATGTGTGATGATAACTACTTCAAATACATTGTAATAATATATTATTATGATATAATATGTATAATAAACTGAACGGATGTTTTCACATTTCGACGAACCTAAACATATTATTTGGTAAGCGTGTGGCTTTCGAGTGAACTACTTAACTCTTACGGTGAGTTATCACTTATCAGGTATACTGCTTATAACACAGTTTTTTCACAATCCGTTCTATGGTAATAGGCATTATTGACTCAAAAATGAACTAATATCGATTGAAGTCATATTATTATATAATATATAAAAATATATAAATAGACACCATTATATAATAATTAATCAAATATTAATAAAATCATAAATTCAATGTTTACCGCAAAAATTAAATTGGCCTGCCTGTTACAAACGTATTATTAAAATATATTATTCGTAATATTTTAAAGCCTGCGGGCGTACATTTGCTCGAAATTGCTTATCGTATACGATGGTTTATTATTAAATTCAAATTTAGTACATACATTCCAGTGACTTATACTCAATGACGATATAGGTTCACTCGACACCTACTCTACACCAGAGCGTTGTTACCTAATCCCCCCCCCTCTTTTTTTATTATATAATTGAAATACTTGATACTATAATTGATTATCAATTCTTATTTTTAAATTATGTATTCACGTGTTATTATTCTAGATATGACGTGCAGTATTATAATTTGATATGTGATTATACTACATTGCTGGCGCACTCACCTTGTTCCACCTCTTGATGGATCTGAGCCGCAGCATGAGTTCGTATCCGATGCACACGGCCATGACGGATATGCCGTTCTCCTTGGACAGCATGGACAGGAGCGCGAACAGCACGCAGAACACCAGGTAAGCGGCCGCCGGACGGCCGTCACCGTTTTTGCTGTAGCACGGCTGCTGCGGCCGCCGACCGCAGGGCCCGTGCAGCGGTTGGCCGTGGTGCTGGTGGCCGTCCCTGGCCCTCACGTGCCGGCCGTAGCACAGGAACGACAGCAGGAAGAACACGCACGACAGCACGTCCGCCCTGCCGACCACCGAGGCCACGGCGTCCGCGTGCACCGGGTGCACGGCGAACAGGGCGGCGGACAGCAGTGCACCGCGCTGGCTCGTCACGGTCCGGGCCACGGACAGCACCAGGCCGGTGGCCAGTCCGTGCAGTGCCACGTTCGTAACGTGGTATGACGTGGCCTTCAGTCCGGAAAACCTACGAAACGCATTGCGAATTACTGATAACGGATTCATGATAATTTTATTATGACGCAATTCAGCTGGTCGCAATCGTGCAATAACCATCATAGCCGTAACTAGTGTGGGGGGTGGAGTTAGCCACCCCCCCCCCCCCATAGGAAATTTTAGACTCTCCTGGTTAAAATTCAAATCGATGCGTAAAAAAAAATTTAAAACTCTAATGGGTTCAATGTGTAATATATAGACCCAATACAGATTTCGTGATTTGGCTATAATAAAAATGCAAATAGAAATATAATTATCAAATAAAATTATTGATAATGAATAATGATATTTTATAAACATTTGCTTTAATAGAATATTATATGCACACATTATAACTTATAACACAATATATACATTTATATAACATAATATATTTATTTTATTAATAATATTAGGTACCTATTATACTGCGGTATACTTATTTTATTGTTTACATTTTATTTTTAATGATGGGGGGGGGGTGGTTTTAGTCTATGGAATATTTTCGACTCTAATCTAACAGACTCCCTGCAGGGACTACTTAACTCTAGTGATGCCCATGATGAGGAATGACTTTGCCCACCCACGGCTTCGATCTTTGATTTTCTAGGATTCTAGTCCCTGTAACTATTTAATCCTAGCTACACCCATGACAATGACAATGAAAAAGTTGTTTAACTGACAATTATTAAATATATCCCATTATCCCATAATATAATAGACGGTAGCTGCTATTCGTATTATTATCATATAATTATAATATAATGTTTTCGTAAGTTTTAATAACATAATGTTTGTTTATAAAATCAATACCGACTGTTAATAACTCGTGAGGATTAAAAGTTAAAAATAACTTATTGAGAATTTTTTACTACAAGAGTTGGTATCGCTATGGTACGTGTAGTTGGTAGACTTTTTCATTTAATGAATGTTTTTATATATTTTACACACATATAAAGTCATAAACAATATTAATGCTCTAACAAATCACAGTATTTTTAGCACAAGTGCACGACATAAAATTGCCATGTGGGTTAATAATAATTGGACTAATATTATGTAACAAATGTATTTATAACAACACGAAGACCTGCACGGCTGCACACTAACATAGGTACCTTTTTATTTCAAATTGTTGGTTTTGATCTTCAATATTTAAAACTATTTTTTTCAAAATATTCAAACTTTCAAAATTCTAAAACAATTGCTCTGCTCGACTGTTCTGACAAAATCAGTGATTTACCTAAGCGTTACTTAATATGCGATAAGCTGTTATTATATAAATTTATGAAAATTGAAGTATACCTACGCATATAGCTTAGACAAGATAAATCAAGCATGGTTAACAATGATATTTAAAAAAAATAAAATGTTTACCTGTAATTGAGTCTGTACGTTAGAACGGTGATAGGTCTGTACGATCCATGTGAATTTCCCGTACCCATCGGCGTGCCCCAAAAGTCATTCCACCAAAGGTTCGTGCCCGAGGTCGACGGTCTTATGTCTTCATTCGCTATTATCGCTCGACTAAAAATCAAACAAATCAAAAAATTAAGTGGTTAAAACACATCACCACGGAAATCATATTATTTTTTTTTGTTTTAGATTCTTTGATTACTGAATGATAAATGTATTGAATTTAAAATGGTGTGCTTTTTATTTAACCTTTTGGAGCATTAAAAACTCTCCGAACTTCAACTTTGAGGGTGCTATCTGGTAGTAAATTTTTTTCTAGTTGGTAATTTTGGATGGTTATTAGAAATTTCCAGTATTTATTCAAATTGTTTTTTTATATTATATATATTTTACGATACTGCAATTAATTTGTTTGTGACAACGACAATAACTGTAAATATAATATATAATTTATAGAAATAAAAATGTATTATTTAACTTAAAGCATAAAATATACAGTTTAAAATACAATTGTTTATGGACCTGATGGTTGTTTATTTTTCAAACATCGACAAAACTGTTATTTTTAAAAACCATTTAACAAACAAGGAAGTAATACAATTATATCCGGAAATTAGGACCTTAGTTCCAATCCTTATCACTTCTTATCTTTGTTGGGGATTATTTACAAAGAGTAGTTTTACTTTTTAAACATAATCGAATTCGTACCTTAGACTATAACGGCAATGCCCAACTTTCGGATTCATAAGTCACAAAATATTTTAAAACGCTTTCAGAGAATAACATAAATGGAAAATCATTAAATTATATTGGTTTGTATTTTGTAATATCATAAATGTGTATACTACAATATAATATAGAGGTATTATACTTCCCGTTTGAACAACAGTTGTTATTTTTTTGATAAGAAATCTGATCAACAATAAGTTTATTTAAATTATAATTTGAAAGTAAGTTATCTCGCCGTCATCAAATGCACGAGTAGCATATAAATTACGTTCGAAAGTTGGCGTATAATCTTTTAGGTCTCCTTGTTATTATTATTATTTATTTATCATGAACACAACATTTAAATTTTTATTGAAGGTTAGGCTGCTATTGAAAGTTTTCAAAGAGTTTTCGTGGTTTTCAGAACCGACAAGATAACATCTTTAGTACAGTATTTTATTAGAAACATTATATATAGATAAAAAAAATTGTATATAATAATAATAATAAAATAAAAATACAAGAAAAAGATTTATTATAAGGAAGTATTCGCAAAAGAGCAGCTTTTACGACATTTTGAATGAGGGCCAACGACTCACCGACATAATTTCCTGAGCATTATGTACCTGTGCGAGTGTATGCACGAGTATTATATACATTTTTATATTCACATCAAAGGCGGAATAAAGTTTCAAAGAGAAATGACTGCCAGTAGAGCCCAGTAAAATAATCCCTTCGTTAACGATCCTTTTTCCTTTTTTCCACTTTCACCCTGTCCTCGCAACGAACAAATCTTATAATAATAACGTGGTTCGGAAACCGCTGGTCTTGAATAACAAACAGAAATACCATTACCATAAAGAAATGATGATATTCATAACGAGATACAATGCAATTTACTTTGTATTCCTCTGCCCACACCATTCACTTGGACTCTGTCATTAGCACGATGTCCTCTCTGTTTGGGGTCATTATAATTTTCAATAATCATTTCTCACCAAACGCGTTTAAATACAGTCCCGCAACAATGCTTTCCACAGATTTACTGTCTGTCGTGGTTTTTCTTAATGCACAGTAACTTATCTTTATCATTGCGTACCATAACCGAGGGTTAATAGATGGCAGCTAGGACTACACTTTGATAATATAGATTTGCAAATATGGGACGAACAAAATAAATACGTAAGTACATATTATCAGTTGCATGTTTACATTGTGTGGACGATCTCATTTAATATTCAATGTTAATTTAAAGAAGTAAAATATTATGGTAATTAACAAATATTCTATAATGATTTTAAGCATCTTAAGTTAAAACATTAAATTATGATACGATTAATTAAAATACAATAAGCATAATATTGTAAAAAAAAATATGATTGTTAATTACTAATGAATTAAAAGTAAATGTTAGGTAATTTAAAAACAAATAAAAGTTTTTTTATGGATATAAAGTTTAAATTTGATCTCATCTGCATAATAGCTATTGAATTATTACTTTGTTTTAAATATTACTATTAATCGATTTTGTAACTGTCTAAAGATTACATTTTTATGGGTGTTAAAAATATATTCTTTTTGTCGACTGTATAGATCAAATATTTCAGTGACTTAGGAATTCACCAAGTTTTATAAAAAGTATTATTCTGAATTTATCTTCTTAATATGAGGAAATAAATCAGTTTGATTGGCATACATAATTTATTTTATTGACTCCACACTGTTATAATAATAATATTTTTAAAATTAAGAGATATGTTGAATGTTATTGTATTATAATTAAGCAAAACATTTTGTACTGAAATGAAGTTTATGCTTTTCAAAACTTCTCAAAATATTAAACAATTTTATTAAAATGTGTTAAATTTATAAAATATTAAAAACTGTATTAAAATATTATAAGTCGCTGATCACTCGTAAAATACAAACAGGAATGTTTACTTTATGACCGGAGCTGTGGAGTAAAACAATTATTTTATCGCAGAGTCAACCGAATTAATATTAAAATAAACACCGTAAAAGTTTGAGACAATCCACTTAATTATTAAGTAACTTAATAAAATTCAAATGTAAATTAATTATTTAATGCTTTTATACAACAACGGCAACGAAATAAAATTAAAAATTAAAATGTCATAGCGAAAATGAATGGTATTTCAACACAATGAAATCCGAACACCAAATGAGATTATTTTAATAATATACGGTAATGTATTTTATACACATATTGTTTTAGATTCGTTCCAAGACATTATAAATGATCACATCGCTATTATAATATATTATGCTGTATAATATTTAAAATAATTTTATCTGTGTTTTACAGTCTTGTTTCTATATGTATATAATATGGAAGAGACACGATGTAGCAAGTAATTAATTAGTTTAACACCATAATATGGAACGATGGTCAAAATAATAAATATATTTATAATGGAAATACAGATTAATGAGAAATAGCTGTCGGAGCAACTTTCGGTAAAATGTTGAAAATCACGTTGCCGAGATGTTTTGGTGTTTAGTTTAGTAGTGTTTGAAAACTTCTGTAACGACACATCAATGAGTAAAAAACCACTATACCAACATGGCAACGGAAGTTTTCGACGCTAATTACCGTATAAAGGAAAACAATGGTTGACATTTTAGCGGTACAAACTTTTCGGAAAATATCAAATTAGATTAACGCGCTTTGAGGAAAATAACCAAAACGTCGGGGGTTACATTTCCATGATTAGCCTCCACACATTTTGATTCGATCGAACAACACGCTCTCACGTTCAAAAATACGTGTCGGTTGACGGAGGGGAGAGGGTGACGTCTTTGGTTTTCGTTTAGATATTATTTACTCGCTGCACGGGACTAATAAAAGTTTTTTTCTCAAGTTTGAAGTGTTTTTTTTTTCGTCCCAAAAAAGTTCATCGGAATTTTATTTGATGTGTGGGGGGGCGGTGTGCGCCAAGCGCAATTACAAACAGCAAGTACAAAGAAACGAAATTGAGTGTGGCAGCGTTAAACGGCCGGAGGGCTTTTGCGTGTGTATTTCACGACACATAGGGCGTGCATAAAATACACGCCAATTACCCCAAGACGCGTTTAACGACTGGCGTTTTACATGAATTATTCACTTTATCGCGCGGAAAGAGGAAGAGACGTCAACATGGATACCATCCGCAACTGCAGTGGACTCGATGAAGAAAACAATTGAAAACCGTGGTATGGTGCAGTGTTGATCGCGACGCAAAGGCGACGACGGTGACGATAATATTATGACACGTTGGGCGAAGGACGGAAAATCTCATTTCCGCGTACAATTAAGTATCGCATAATATATATTATTATTATTATTATTACACTCTCCCCAAAGTGATTTATCAAAAATTCAATTTTCGCAGTCTCCACGCGATATTATGATATAATATAATATCCGTACTCGAAAGCGGCGGAGGCGTTGTTGTTATTGTTGTCGTCGTCGTTGTCGCAGTTGTCATTGTCATTGTTATTATTATTATTATTACTATTCGTAACCAACCCGGGATCTCCACGGCGGGAACGCGAATTCATCTTGTTGACTGATGGAAATTTCCTACTCGTGCAGAGTCGGCGGCGGCGGTAGTGGCGGTAACCCGCTATTAGGGGGTGTATAGGCTTCTAAAAAATACGTCTAAATGAGTCTCGATAATCCTTTACATTTCCCTTGTTTTGTTCATTAGGCTTAATAGTAAATCCCCCAGAGCTCATTAAAATTAATACCGACATTTTTTCATTTTATTTTTCCCGTCCGTTCTTTTTCGCCTCGCCCACGATTCCTCTCCGTTTCGCTCCTCCACGCTATCATATATTCCCCGTCGGGCCCACAACCGTCACCGTCGCGCCGTCTCGTATTGTTTTGTCCCTGCACGCCCCGTGCCATTAATTCTCAACGCCTCGCGGGGTTTTAAACAAACGAGGAAAAAACAATTAACTATACGGGCAAATATAAGAAAAAGAAATGCACCATAGGCAGCTGTGCAATAGGTTGGCGAAGGGAGGGAAGAGTGGTGTACATTAATTTGTCATTAAATCGCTCCGACGTTTAATAACGGGGGGCCCAGCTGCGGAATAAAATATTGCTTTCATTGGAGAAAAACCGTTTCTTTACGTTTTACACGTTTCTTTTTGATAGGCGTATGCGCACACTTTCTTATTATTGTTGCAAAAGCGAAATTATTATAACTTGGGTTTAACGTTCGATTGGTTTTCAATGTTCGTAGTTTTTCGTTTTTTTTTTTCGCAACGACTGTGGCGTCGAATAACAACAATGAGGTACCATAACTGACTAATGTTATATATTATGCCTAAAAACAGTATAGTTATACCAAGGAAGACGCCGTCTTATTAGTTTTCTGGTTGATGTATTTGAAATTAACATATACATTTGAACGATAAGATGTTATAGATCGTTCAAGACTAATCGGATAAATATGTAATTCAATATTATGCATTAGTTTAATATTCAACTATCACAATAATATTATGAATCACTTAAATGACTGTTCGGGTTAACTGGTAAACTAACAATTATTTTTGGTATTTATATTTGTTTAAATTAATGACAACTTTATAAATTATAAGATTCATACTTTCTGAATAAAAAAATATTTTAGAATTCAGATTGGAAAGTTTTTTTAATGAAATTCTCATAAGAAAGAAAATATAAAGTATTACCTATTTATAAATTACTCGGTATTAAGTTATAAGATGTTTTAAACGTTTTCTTTAAAATTCAATTCAATTTTCACAAATATAATAAGAATAATATTATAATAATCATGTACCTATTAATAACTTGACATTTAATTCATACAAACAAAAATAAAGGTGTTAAAGTGAATGTCGCTCTGCTATTCAGTAGGTTACAAGTGGATCACTGTAATGGAGAGTATTAAATTTGAATTCAATGATATAATATATATTATATATATAATATATGAAAAACGATTCTGAATGGTGACGGTTTGTCAGTGTGGATAGGTATTTTTTATTATATTTCTATTGTTATTACTTATTATAAATAAGGTAGGCGGTAAGTTGAATTAATATTATAAAATTACAACAAAATCGTTATTCTTGGTTATTTAATATGTAATTTCGTCTAAATTTGAACATAAAATGACTATAAAATAAAACTGCGTTTTATATTTTTTGGTTGCACAATAACCTACTTACGTGGAACCTTTTTTTAAATTTTTAATCCTTAGGTATAAAAGTTGAAAATTTGATACATTTTAACTACAAAATCATTTTTAAATTTTAAATTTGATACATTTTGTCAAAATTCAAAATTTAAATGCTTATAAAAATGTAGAATGTCCAATGTCGTAAAAATTTGAACTTGGACCGCTAATATAAATTTAATTTGACTTTCTTATGGACACTTTTTTTTTTGATAAAGGTAGACAAACTTATGAAGAACCTTATATTATATTTTTAAACCTTAAATTTAAAAATAAAATTTCTGACTCATTGCAAAATAATTTGCACATTTATTTGAATTTTACGAATTTTTTCAAAATTCGAACTTTAATTAAATGCTTATAAAAAAAATTGTGACTGGATTTTTAATGTTTTTCAAATGTCATTGCCACAATATATTAGGAGTATGTATTCAATTTTAAGTTTTTTACCCAACAAATGCACCAACTAGATAGAAAAGTTTCTTTCCAAAAAAATGCTGATTTCGAAAATCAGAGCAATTTAACTACCCCAAATTTTGATAACAGCAATAAAAACACACATCATTCTAAATACAACACATTATCGCTATGCTCAGAATCGAATATAAATACACATGTCATGTAGAATACTTAATATTATACAGCTCACTAGGGTCATTTAGTCAGTTAAAGTTTTCATATGCCGTGTTAATCATATAGGCCTAAAAGGGTCAATACAATTAAATAATTAAATCTATTAAAATCCGATTTATTTTATTCGTTTTTATTAGGGAATTATTATTTATTATAGATGATCATAGACTGTATAATATTATAGTTTACTCATATACAGAAATAATAGATGGATGTAAACATTTCGTTACACGACTTACTGGAAAACAAGTAACATTTTGTCCTTTCACAAAAACTAAAAAAAAATTAATTTTATTCAACATATTATCTACTTAATTGAAAGTTTTGGTAAAGAGTTTCATAATTATTTATTTTATGGTAACTATTTAGTGCGTTTATTTAAAATTTTGAAATGTATGTATACAGGCACCAATCACATTCGCCCCCCTCCATTATTACATTTTATCATTTGAAGAAGTAATGAATTTATAAATATACTATAAGACCATATTTTAAAATTTTTGATATTTTTTATACTACTTAAAGAGTATCCTGTGGCAATACATACTTCTGCTTTTAATATATGAACAAAGCGATGGGGAGGGGGGTTGTTATTTGAAGAACAGAAGTTTGTACCTCTACAAAGCACTTTCTAAGCAGTACAAAAATCTCAAGAATTCGAAAACATGGTTTATAAGTATATTTAAAAATTTCAGTAATCAGATTTTGAATAACTGAATTATTGAAGAAGAAAAGGGTTGACATGTTTGGTGAATCATATAAATAATATGCATAACAATGTACTGATATATATGTGGAACTTATTAGTTTATTTAAGGACGAAAAGTTCGCATTTATGTTAACACTGATCTTAACACGGGTTATTTTATTTAGTTTAAAAGTACAAATCCCACAGGATATTATTATAAATATTAAATAATAATAATGCAAGGAATAACTCGGAGAACTACATTCAAATGTTAACATATATAATAGTTACCTAACGTTTTAAAATGAACAACAGTTAGGTACAGTATTAAATAGAAAAAATTATAATTTATATTATTACATTAATATGAAAATTCTCATGTTACAATGGTAACAAGGTTATTATTTTAGATGTGAAAAATAAAACATGACACTTAGATTGGTATTGTACCGTAATATTACTGGTTGATTTTTGATCTACATAATACATAAAAACCATTAGTAGGTATTATAATAATAATATATTGGTATCTTATTAAAATATAATATGTCAAAGGCATAATATCGTGGTTTCTTCACTCCGATTTGAATATTACCATTTAAGGCTTTTTTTTATTGTTATTTTAAACAAGATTTTGGGTCAAAATTAGGATAATTTTCGTATTTGCTTTTCGTATTATCATCGTCTAGTTTAGTCTATGGGATTTTATCGTTGTAATGCGGCAATTTGTATGCGATATGTGGCCGAGAGGACAAATGCAATTGCCGCTATACGGTTAGTATTTTTGCATTGGCTACAATAAAATTATAATGCTGTAACGTGCGCCAAACTTTTAAATAAAAAAGTGGTAAAAACAAAACGAGTTAAACTGGAAAAAGACAACGCAAAAAAAAAAAATGAAAACGTAATCGAAAATTACACGATTGCTTTTTTCCCATTACCATGTTACCACACGGTGGTATAGGTACTTACCATAAATTCTATAACTAATGCCACACATATTTCTATGGTTTAAATGGACGAAAATGCTGGTATCTTGAAATTGTCTCCAAGCACAAAGGAATATTTATTGTAGATCTGTACTAAAACGTATTAAAATAATACCGCTGCTCAAAAATTCGTAGCAACCCTATATATTATTAAATAATAATATGTATATTGTGTAATGCTAAATAGATTTGGACGCTATCTCATTATAGTATTACAACTATATTACTTTTTTTATAATAACAAACTCACTGCCATATATTTGAGTGATGTTGGGTATATTAGGAGGGACTTATCCTGCTTATATTGATTGTATGTATATACCTAACTATAGTAAATAATAATTACAACTTAATAATTTATTATACAATTAAATTGCTATCAACCATAATAGGTATATACTCGTACAAAATAAAAATATCAATTGTTGATCATAGTTCCTCAGTCAAACTTAAGTTTACATAATAATAATAACTGTATATTTTGTCTTTTATTTATTTAACTAATAATAAAAATAGTATCAACCTACTAATAAGAAATCCTTATCATTTTTTAATTTCTACATAATATTCTTTACAAAAGATATTTAAAACGTACCTATTGGATTTAAAAAAAAATTGGATTGACCTAACATAACATTTAGTAGAATACTAGAATGTGATGTTATTTTTAAGGTATTATAAAAAAAAAAACTAATTTTATTTTACTGTATGATACATTTTTAATAAAACAAAATTGATTGTTTTATATATTAAAGTACAATATTTTTGTGGATTTCATAATAAAAGGAACCATAATATGGCATTTATAATATTGTCACACATCGTTGTACTCGTATATTGTATACACCTAGTAATGTGTACCTTATGATTATATAGAATTTAGCAGTCATAATAATATTCTCAAAAAAAAAATAATATTTATATTGTCTTACTTGTCGTCGTACACGAACCCAGCATTCAGAGTATTCGCGTACACGGCAATCGCCAGTGAACAACATATCAATAAGTGATAGTCGACGTTAAAATAACGTTTTATCTGAAAACAATATATAGGATTCGTTTAGTGAAGAGTATTTGTTTTTTTATGATGCAGGGAAAATTCAAATACATTAAAAATAATTTTTTCCATTTTTCTTTTAATCATTTTTATTACGTACTCGATTTGGCTTTTTGACCGGCACAGGGGTAGCCGAGACCATCGCGGCAACGTGACTGAATAGCAACACACCCAGACACTCAGCGGTCCTTTCCAAAGCAGAACCACCCAGTGTCCCTTCGGCGCATGCGCTCGTTTTTCAATTGCGCAAGGACGCCTATCGTACATATTGTTTAGATATAGGTAGTAATAACATAAAATAATTTATCAATGATTATGAAATAATAATTTCAAAATATGCATAATATTGTAAAAATATGTTTAATAAAGCATATATTATTAATTATATAATTATAATACGTGTATTTATCACATACATTTAAAACACATTAATTATGACTATACGTAATCAACTGTATACATTTTACTTGAAGATTAAATATGATTTCATCTAAATTATATATAATATATATATATATATGCATACTGTATACATGAATATTTTACAATTGAAAATAAAATTTAGGAAAAACAGAATTTAATAAATTTTAAAGTTAATACAACTGTACTTATATCGTAATTCATTGGTATTTCACATATTAAATACCTTTAATATTTATACACTCTTAAAAGAACCGTAAAGTCATTAAAATAGTCTATATTTAAATAATGAAAACAATTACAAACGAATTTCGTATAATAAAAGTAAAATTAAAATATGTGTTTGTGGCATTTTCACAAATAGATTTTGTTCTTCCAAACCCAAACGTCAAACAATTTGGTAATATAAAGATATATTTTAAAGGTAGTTTCATTACAAAATTATGAAATCCTTACATTTTATTGTTATACAATATTTGCAACTATAATAATTATTGAATGTTATTATAATTTATACTTATATCAGCTATATTAAAATAATAAGTAAAATGTGAATAAACCTATAAGTACGTCATAATAGTAAATAGGTGCTATATTTAATATTATTATATTTAATATCATGCATCTTTGAATATTTGTAGATTTTGTATTGTGTAGATATTTAAATACTAAGGTGAAGATTGTTGTTTATAATATACATACATATTATGTAAAATTAACCTATACCTAACTTATAATAAATAGTAATTTTAAATCCATATTATATTTTAAGATTAAATTATGAAAATATAAACTTATATTTTTCCACAATTTTGATTATATTATTGTCAACTATAAAAGTATTTTGATCGAGAGTTATAGTCTATTAACCACATAATATAATATATTATGATATTTAATAAACTAATATTTATTAAAATGAGATAAAATATACATATATTAATACTGCTGGAGCATAGAATATTTTAAGTAGTAAAATTTAGGAAATTTTGCAAAAATATTATTGGCAAATATTTGTCATTGTGTGAGTGGTAAACGAACCTTAGTGTGTGTAATCGATTATCTGGGCCATTACCGTGTTATCGTAAAAAAACCGTTAAAATCGGTACAAAATAGCTATAAGCGGAAGATTAGTTTATGTACTTCCCGATGTCCGATTATTATTTTAAAAATATGTATGAACTCATCATCCCCTTTACTAGGTTATGTAGGAAAAATAATTGACGTTTTAAAACTGAATGTAAGTGTATAAGATAAATAAACATTTATATAGAATAATATGCTAATGGTTTTTATCCCTGTATTATCTTTAATAAAGTAATGAGTAATAATATATATCACACATAAAGTGTTTGGATTTAAACTTAACATTAGTTACAGCCTACAACTTTAATGATGTTTGCTTTTAAGTTTCAAGACAAATGTATGAACTAGGGGTTTAATTATGTAAAGGTAATTATAAAACGAAATTTTTGTTGCCATTTGCAATTGTTGCAATTGAAAACAAATTGTTGAAACAATCAGTAGGTATAGTTATTTTTAAATAAATGTAAATGTAGGTACAACTCTACAACGTCAAAAATCAGAGGAATTAAAATGTCGAAATGATCAAAAAATGAATATTGAAACATAATTCCGTACATTCCTAACACAAAACAATATTGTATAGCCCTATAGTCCGATAGCCGCATAAGTAATCAATTTATGATTATTATTGAAATAAATGATCTGAAATCATATAAAATATTTATTCAAACAAAAATAATCATCGCCTACAAAGTGTAATATTATTATGTTTTCTATTATTACAATAAGTTTATTCCTATGTAGCGTGGTTCACGTTAAGAGGTACCACTGAATATCTCAGATGGGTAACATTGTATTGAAATGGGGTTTTCGGGAGGTGATAGGGAGCACTTAAATACATATTTTCAGACCATTTTCAAATTTTTAGCTCACTCGATACGCGCATTCGCAATACGACTTACTTTTTTTTAAATGGCAACCCCAGTTTTTTTTCTGTAGGATCGGGTAGAGTATTTTTTTTTAAACATTTATTGTATAAAAAGTTTTTTTCTGTTTTAAAAACTGATCAAGTTAGAGTAAGTTAAGAATTGGATTTATGCACAATACCTATGTGTTTAATGCAATTTTCATTTATAACCACTGGAAATAATAAAATAAGTGCCAAATAAATGTTTAATGGGGGACGGAGTGGCCGAGCGGACTAAGACGTCGGTTGCGACGCGCACCGTCGCCGGTTCGAACTCAGCTACGGGTAGCATTTTTCTTCTAGCAGTCACGGTGTGTGGAGAGAGAGGCCCACATGGCGACATCCCCCACCTGGGCATGGCAGATACCTACATGTGTGTTTGTTTTGGCAGAATTTTTAAGTGGGCACCCGTAGGTGTCTTCCATGTGAGGGTGGGGGATGACGGCCTCTCTCTACAGACACCGTGACTGCCAAAAGAAAAATGCCGCCTGTAGCCGAGTTCAAACCGGTGACGGTGCGCGTCGCAACCGACTCCTTAGTCCGCTCGGTCACTCCGTCACCAATTAAACATTTATTTGGCCCTTATTTTATTATTTCCAGTGGTTATAAATGAAAATTGCATTAAACCCATATTATGCATAAATCCAATTTTCGACTTACTCTAACTTGGTCTGTTTTTAAAATAGAAAAAAACTTTTTATACAATAAACGTTTAAAAAGAATACTCTACCCGAACCTGCAGAAAAAACTGGGGTTACCAATTAAAAAAAAGTAAGTCGTTTTGCGCATGCGGGTACCAAGTGAGCTAAAAATTTAAAACTGGTCTAAAAATATGTATTTAAGTGCTCCCTATCACCTCCTGAAAGCCCCATTTCAATACAATGTCACCCATCTGAGATATTCAGTGGTACTTCTTAGCGTGAACACACTGTACCTACCTATATGTATTTTGTGGGAAATTTAAATAAAAAAATAAAAGTTTGTGCATGTACGAAGCGATCTTTGACAGGCAAAATATGTTTGACACAATGTTTCTGCATGTCAACCTGGACTGTCCTGTATTATCATGTTTTATGAGCTTTGTTTCTTTGTAAATATAATACATTTGTTAATCGTTTATTATTGTTGAATATTGATAAAATTGTGCTCTTTGTCAATTAGCGTCATAATTATTTATATTTATACAAAAAAATTATTATTATTAACTTCGTACGTAAAAAGAACATAACACCAAAATATATTTACATTATAGGTAATATACTTGTAAAACATCACATAAGTTAGATACGTTTATGTGTGAGTAAAAATAATTATTATTGTAATAATTATTTTTGTAAAATATAATAATTCGAGCCATGCGAAAATATTCTCTAATTATTTCCAATCCCCACTAATTTGCTTTTTTAGAAACTGATTATATTTTTAATATTTATAGAGTTTAACTTTCAACCCTGCAGTTTTATAGCAAAATCAGATATGGTATCCTTAATTTGCAACTGATTTCTCCATAGCCCACAGTCTAAAACTATATAATATATGAAAGCTGATAGAACAGTGCTCATAATTTAATTTAAAAGTTCATTAAAAAGTTTACTACAGAAGTGGTCGCAAAGTGTAAGAGTATATTATGCTTTCGTCGTATAATTGGTTTGAAAATATATAACCAGAGTATTTATTTAAGTAAACGAATACGATTCGAATGAAATATTAGTACCTTGTTGGTAAATTAAAAATTCATATAATCATATATATATCATTGCGTATAATATATACCTACTGAAAGTATAAATTTGATTTGAAATAGAAAAATATTTGATTGCTGCTCTATTCATATTGTTATTTTCCAGTGATTGAGATGGAAAATAGAAACATTTAAAAACCACGTTATTGTAGCTTATCTGAAGTTTCCAATTAAAAAACTAATAAACTTTGAATGGGTTGGTTAATAAAAATATTATTTTTTTTTTCTGAAACGGTACCTATAAAAACAAATGTCATGAAAATTAATCACATTCCAAGCATAATAGAAACGAATAGTATTCGTATCTATTTTAATTATAAGTATTTTAGTTTTTATTTTTAAATATTTATCATTTAATAAAAATACATGCAAGTATGTTATCATTAATAATAATTGTGATGTATTCAATAGAAATATTGTGTAAAATAATAAATAAACGTTGCAATAAAATATTAATATTGTTAAAAACAATGTAATATATTATGATTTATGATTATTATCACTGATATAAGGTAATGTAATGTTATAATAATATTTTTGGTTGACCAACCTGAATCCTTTCCTAATGCAAGAAAAGATTATGCAGAAGCAGACGCGTGTGAACGGTCTACTGCACTTGTGCACTCGCCTACGATTGTAATAGACATAAGTTGTAACTTTGTAAGCTTTTCTCGAGAAAAGTAATTGTGTGTCATTTAGCATTTAAAAATAAGAATTTAATTACACGGTTATTTACATATGGATTACATTATATTATATGGTTTTGTATTCACTAATGTGTAGTATTGTTTAGTCAAACAAATTGCTGAACCATATAAATTAATTCAATTTAAATGGCTAATCAAAAATAATTTAACTACACTGCTTACCGCAACTTAATATTGTCTAAGCGTATTTTGTTGTTACCAAACAAGGGTGTTTCATCCCTATAACTAAATCATTAATATTCCTATCATGGTTTACATATGTATCAGTAGATGTATCATAA